ATTGAGCATTCTGTTGAGTGGATAAAGGTCGTCGTTTTCTATGTAGAGAAGCCCCTCATCACTGGCTCCTCCATCATCATCGATCACCATGGTGTCTATGGCTAGCTCGGGCACGACGCTCATCACCACAATATCCGAAGATGTCTCGGGCGCGACACTCTTTGCCTTTTTATTTTTTCCCCCAACTGGGGAGGAGCGTCTCCATTTTTGTTGCTTGTTCTCAGGCCGAGGACTTCGAGAAGAGGCACTTGTACCAAAAGTAGGCCCGGAGACACCTGTTCGAGTAAAAGCCTCCTGCAACAGCCTTGTCGCGTCAGTAGTATTAGCCAAAACGTCCTCCTCGGGGACGACAACAGATCCCTGGGGTGGACCTAAATTCAACGGGAGAGAAAGGTTAATCAACTTCCTTATACAAAAGGTAAAAACAAGGTGAGTTCGACTTACCATAATTTTTGGCCTTCCACCCATATTTAATGGCCAGTCCTTTCCATGTGCGGGTCTCGGGCATAGTGACATCCAAAATATTCTGGACCCACTGGTCCAAACCTTCAATCATAGGTGGTGTCCACCGAGTTTCTAAAATAAGTGAAAGAAGAAGGGTGAGTAACAACATGGGGCAATCCTTAGTAGAAGAAAAAACAAACGGTGAACTTACGAGTACGATTCCATAATTCCGGAAAGGATTGAGTCGTGGCCGGAATGATGTCTCTAATGTAAACTGCAACGAATCATTCTATCCACCCACGGTCGTTGTCATTATCCATGCTGGTTAGCAGAGCATGGTGGCCATGTTTGCTGAAATTAATCATTCCCTCGCGAAAAATCTTGGGGGAAAAAGGTTCATTAATCGAGCCAGGGTTAGATCCTCTCCCATCTCCTGGCATAGACGCCGAAGACAAGGAAGTGTCCTCCACACAGAAGGACTTACTTGTGCCAGGCATACATGGTAACAGATGCAAAACTCCACGATAATAGAGTCAAGCTCCCCACTCATAGAAAATGGTCCCAAAGTGAAAGGATACGTATAAAAATACGTGACATCCTTCTTGGGCAAGGTTATCCGCTTCGTCGGGTCAGGAGCGATGATATTTAAATAATGGTAATGGCAGTCTTCCTTCACAACAGGAATGCTGGAAGGACGGATATAAGAAGGATACACTCCAACAGCCCACGTGCGAGGATTAACAGAATGGTACTTCTATTCAATGTCCTTAGTTATGACAAGGATCCTTGGAATGATGGTGTTCACCGTAGGAGGAGCAGCATCATCAGATTTACCTTTGTTCTTTGAGGAACTGGGTTTCTGGAAGAAGAGGCCACTGTTAATAGAAGAGAGAAAAGGGTTTTTTCTGAAAAAGAAGATTAGAGAAAGTTGAAGACAAATTCGAGTTGAGTAAAGAGAGTTTGAGAAAGTTTGGAAAGTTATGAAATATAAATGGAGAAGTTTGATGCGAGTAAAGGAATAAGCGGCTAAAATTGTGGCCATAATTACCTCGATAACCGGCAAAAATGGTGCTGAATCATGGAATGACACGTGTTCGGGGCATTAAATGCGGAGAGACGTGTGTCAAATCAACAGTCATAAACTTTATAGAGTGGGTCAGAAAATTTCCCGCCAAAAAGGGTATTTATACCAACTTCCCGGTGACATAAAGTTATGCCACCGGAAAGCAGAGGGACTATCTTTATAGGGTAAAATATGTTCATATTAAATGATCGCATGAGAAAGTGACATGTGGAGCCGAATACAGAAGGCAGTTGGGTCCGGAGGCAACGATCTCGTTTGTTATCAGAGAGAATGATATTCATAAAGGCGAAATAAATGCCTGTCACCCGGAAGCATTTAGTAGAGAATATTCTACAACATTAAGTATATGGTACGTTATTGAGAATATAACATTCACTGCCTACCGTTACATATTCTTCAATAGCCCTCATAAATGCCTGCCACCCTGAAGTATTTAGTGGAGAATATTCTACAACTTTAAGTATATGGTCCGTTATAGAGAATATGACATTCACTGCTTACCATTACATATTCTTCAATGGCTCTATAATTGTCATTATAGAGCTCATTATAAATAGTGAGCTCTATAATCATTGTACATGAGACAAATTTTCTGACAAGCATAGACTATACTGCATTCAAAGCTCGATACCATTTTACTTTCTAGCTTATTTACATTGTTCTTACTGCCTCAGGAAGCTCTGCTCCCGGGCTCAAGATCTCTACTGTCTTATCTTGATTTCAACGCTAAGTCTTATATTTTCGTCTAATTTATTTATCATTTTAGGATCAAATCGATTCACTTGTCTATAAACCACGTATAAATTTAACTATACCATTTTACGGGTAAACAGTGTATTGTCTCTTGTTTTTGTCTTTAAAGTCTTCTTTTATGCTTGATTTTTCGAGCTTGAATTTTTATGGAACTTTCCTTTTGTACATTTCCTAGCGGGATAAGGTCCAAAATTGCCCCTCTAGTATGGTATATTGTTTACTTCTGCTACCCGTTATACTTTTTGTCCAATCTAGCCCCTACCGTTAATCAAGTTTTAAAAATTACCTCTAACCCTAACATTTTGACACTGTGGCAGCGGACCCCCTCAATTTTATCCATGTCAGCTGCCATGTCATCGACCCCACCAAATTAAAACCCCACAGACCCATTACATTCCTCAGCCTTCAATGTCGCAAGGAAGCTGTTCTTCCTAAATTAGGTGTCGTTGTGGCATCATTGCAAACTACTTCACTTCAACGACTCCATTAAACCCTGTAAGGCGATTTTAGGTTAGTGATTATCTAACAAAAGCTCTAAATTATTATCAGTTTGCTCTAAATTATAGTCTAATAATAAAAATCTTAGTTTCTTCTCTGTTTTTTTTGTCTTCGACAGAATCGTTCTTGTGGTTATTTTGAATGGGAAGATGAAATCTCCTTGAACAATGATTTGGTTACAACTAAAGATCTAACATTGTCTTGGGAATCAATTAAAAATAATAGGGATAAATTGAAACAAGAATTAATTACCATGGAGGCTCTACACCAAGCTGAAGCTGCAAAAGTAATGAAATTGGAAGAGAAGGTTTTGAAGACGAGGATGATGCTTATGATTTCATGGGCACTTTTTGTTGGATTATTTGCGGCGTCGATGATAAAGTAAATGTTGGTAAATCTTGTTGATGTATATTGTTGTGATATTTTTTTTTAGTGAATATGTTTTGTTTTCAGTTTTCTTCTCGTTTGAAATTGGAAGAGAAGGTGTTATGTATGTTTTTTTGAGCCGTTTACATTAGTTAATGTAATCTTAGTTAATGTAATTCCAATATTTATGTATTTTGTGTATGTATTCGAGGGAACCGATTGTGATGAACCTGCTATATTATTAGTTGATGTTATGGGATGATGAACATAGCAGTTACAAAAGCACACAAATTGTATGTGTTGAAGGCATTGTCTCTGTCAAAATCTGGACAGTTTTTAATGGTGATGAACCTGCAGATTCCTAAATCTTGGACAATGAAGAGGTTGGACAACATCTATAACAATGAAACGAACACTTAAACCATTCATAAACTAATAGTTGGACAATGAATAACAATGAAACGAACACTTAAACCATTCATAAACTAATAGTTGGACAATGAATAACAATGAAACGAACACTTAAATTCATAAACTAATAGTTGCTTCATCACAAGGAGGTGTCACATTAACATCCCAAAATAATATCACAACCAAGTGACAACATAACATCCAAGTTTCTCCAACTAAACAGTCAAACTACATTAAACCCCAAACAAGGGGATGTCACATTATCACCGCAAAAACTTACACAACCAAGTGATAACATGACATCCGAGTGAACAGGTCACTAACTAAACAATCACACAACTAAAAATAACATGTTTACTTGGCTAACAGTAATTACATCACAACAAAAAATATACAACCATAATAGAGTTCAATAGCTCCACATTTCAGAACACCAGATTGCATTAAGTCTGCTTCTTCCCATTACCCTTCTTTGCTTTCAACTTGGCCAATCTTTGTTTGTTAAGATGGTTACCAGTAATAGCATTTTTTTCCCTTCCATTGCAGCTTCTTTGGTGAGAATGGAAGATTTGATGGCTCACTCACACTGCAGCTTCCAGATAGCATTTTTTCCCTTTAATTTTAGCCTAGTCTTTGCCTCAGAGATACTTCTTGGCCTTATAGCTATTTCAGGCTCTGTATCAAAGTCTGGGTAGTTGAAGTCTGGGAAGGCACTGCAGCTTGGTTCTTTCCTCTGCACTGAAGGGGTTGACATAAACAACAAGTTACTGGATTGACTTATTTGAGTAGGATGACTTGGCTGAGGGGCTAACAAAGGAATTTCCTCATTAGTGACTTCTTGTGGCACTGGTGCAGGAGAGGGAGATCTGGGTTGTTCATCATCAATAGCTTCATCAAGTAAAGTTCTCTTTCTTTTTGTCTGCTTTCCCTTCTTCTTGCCTCCAATGGGCTGCTTTCCTTTAGAATGCTGTTAGTAAGAAAGAAAGATTTTAATAGATGTTGAAAGAAAAAGAATGATAGAAAAAGTTATAGTATTGATTACCTTTGTACATCCTCTAGCATTGTGTCCAAGTTCACCACAGTTGTTACATGTCATTACCCTCCCTTTCCTTGACTGAGACCATTGCCCTTGCCTATTAATTTCCTCATTCTTTTCTCTTGTTCTCTTAACCTTTGGTCTCCTAGCCATAGTTACCAAAGGAGTTGGAGCCATGTATTATGAAAGGTCAATTTTCCAGAACTTTTCTCCTCTTATTGGTTGTAACTTATGTGAATAAGTTAGGAGATAAGCCTCTTTGGTAAGGTACCAATGAATCTGACTTAGAGGATCCACTTTCTTGTGCAATAACGCACAGATTGCATGAGGACATGGAATGCCACAAATATCCCATGCCCTGCAGGTACATTTCTTTAACCTCAGATTCACAATATGCCTGTCACTACTTTAAGTCACCTCATGTCCATTGTCTGCATTGCCATTAATATGACACTTCAATGCAATCCTCATGAATTGGTTGTACAACTCCATGGTTTTGGGACTGTACTCATTTCCCCATGTCATCACCTCAGCTTCGTGTTCATTTATCATGTTCATCACCTTGATTCCAATATCCTCAAGCATCTTAATGATTGGCTTGTGCCTTGCTTGCAAGATCCATGCAATGAATGACTCAGTCAAGTTTTTGTCCACAGACTGGTTCTTGCAAACAGTATCAAAGAATGCCATACTCCAACATTTTGGTGGATACTTTAACAAATCCTCAACAGCTTCCTTTCCATCATGCTCTACTTGACTCATACTCTTTATCTGATCTTTGAAGTCATCTTCATAAGTACTTCATGCAGCCCACTAAAGGAATTTTTTGTACTCACCAGAACCTCATCTCCTACACCAATTTGCTTCTATATGTCTTACATAGAATCTGAAGTGTGACTCAGGAAGAACAGTTTGGATTGAGTCAATCAATCCCTACAAATATCAGTAAATATCATCAAATAACAGTACAAAGAAACTAAGAAAATAGCTGAAAATAACAGTACAAAGAAACATTACATACCTTTTGCATATCTGATATAAATGTGATCCCTTTACCCATTTTGAGGTCTAGTGAAGTCTGCATGTGACCTAAGAACCACTTCCAAGTAAGTTTTGTTTCTTTATCAATAATAGCCCAAGCCAATAGATAAAAATGATTGGCAGAATCTTGATCAACAACCACCAAGAGCTGACCTTTGGCTTTCCCTTTTAAAAATGTTCCATCCAATCCAATGAAAGGTCTCAAACCATTCTTAAACCCAAACTTCATTGCTTGAAAACAAATATACATCCTTAAAAACCTCCTTTTGCCTTCTTCAAGAGCATCTTTTGATAAGTTAATTATCACATCACTCCCAGGATTGCTAAGTTTCAGTTCATTGGTATAGGCAACAAGCTTATTATATTCATCTGAAAAACTATCTTCAAGTTTCTCCAAAATTATTTTCTTTGCCCTTTTGCACTTAGATTCACTAACATTTACATTAAATGCAGCTTTCAAGCTTGCCCTCATCTATTTAACTTAAATTTTGGGATTATCTTGCAAGTCTTTTTTAAAGTAAGCAGCTAATTATATTTGCATCAACTCTTTGATTTTCAAATGCAGGTTCACGTGTGCTCAGGCTCTAAAGTCTTGAATTTAACCCCACCTCTGAAAAATCTTTAGATATATGACAAACAAAGGGGCAGTCACCAACACATATGTACCTAAGCCTTGCTATGCTACTTTTAACTTGCTGCAAGTCATATCCATTTGCAAGAGAATACATGTTGATCATTTTTCTAGTTTCAGGTATATCTTTAAATGTCATTGACCTATCTAACTCTTTATAGTCAGTTAACTTATCATTGATGTCCCTCTTCTTTTGTAAAAAAAGTTGCTCCAATCCATCAGAACTTAATTCAGGAGAATCAGAATCATTTTTCTCACTTTCATTATCACTACAAACAGTAGCAACTTCAACTTCAACTGTGTGTGACTCACTGTGAGTGACTATATTAGGTACATCAATTTCTGGTTCACACTCTTCTACATCAAATAAATTAATAACATTACACTGTTCACTAACAAAGTCCAATAAAGTCCTAATCCCAACATCCCCATCTATTTCATAGTATCTACCAACAAGACCCTTTACTATTAGTTATTTCACCCCTATATACCCAAATTTGGTATCATATTCATCAACTAAATCAGCATAAGAGAGCAAGTCAGAGTCATAACCTTTATTGATGTGCACATACTTCTCTTTATACAACAGACGTGGCTTACTAGTCCATTCTCCACCATGATGAAAAACTAAGTCAACTAGCACCATCTATAAAAGACTGCATAGTAACCATGAATAAAGTTATTCCAGCCTACCATAGTAAATGCATAAAGAAGTAACAAAGACAAGAGGTACAGAAATAATAAATAAACATGTAAGGGAAAGCTTGAATAAACAAAAGAGGGGATAAATAAAGGGAATAAGGAAAAGGTACAGAGGTAGATGAATAAAGAAACAAAATTGAATGAGGTACTATGATAAAGAAGCGGACACAAGCATGCATATGGGGGACCACATAATAAAGTATCAAACTTAGAGTCCCACCTCAATAAAATAAGCACAAAACATATCTGTAAGAGACTCACATGAACATCATCTTCTAAGTAAATGCAGGTGGAACATGGGACCAAATAACAACAAGTCAGCTATTAACAAATACTTCAAATCCTTTTTCAGTTAAAAAACCAACCATATGCGACCCTTCTTTAAAAAACAAAAGGGACCACACATACTTGAAATCCTAAACAGAGAAAGTTCTTCTAAAACAAAGTAATAATAAACCAAATATCATCAATTCCACCAATATACCCTAACCGACCAACAGAAACAGATAAATAATTAGGGTATAAAGTTGAAAGTCACATACAAACACAAATATCGATAAAAACACAGACAAAGTAAAACCCTAAACGACAAATCACATATATGAGCACATAACAGTGAAATCCCTAAACCACGAAGCATAATATAAAAATTCTAACTTTAACAGAAAAGAAATACTAACCCTAAGACAAAAATGCTTCATTTATAAACAACAAGCATATGAAACTAGCAGAAAAGTTCAGATTTTGAGGGAAAATCTTACCTTGGACAGCATTAAACACTGAAAATAGAGGATTTTCTTTTGAACCTTCCACACTCTTCTCTCTCGTTTCTATCGAACGTATGTAGACCAAATGACCCTCTTTGTCAATTTAGACAGGTCTAACTTATTTATTTAGTGGGCAAACGGGTCACGGGTGGGTGACGGAAAAATTGAGGAGGTCAACTGCCACAATGTCAAAACGTTAGGGTTAGGGGTAATTTTTAAAACTTGATTAACGGTAGGGGCTAGTTGGGACTAAAAGTATAACGGGTGGCAGAAGTAAATAATATACCATAGTAGAGGGGCAATTTTGGACCTTTTCCCTTTCCTAGCTGACTCAATTTCTTTACATATTTATTTTTCTACCTATACGGGAACTTTTCAGCCTTCAATCTCCAAATCTCCTTCTTGTGCAAAACAATCTAGATCAGTGGATATTTATATGGGATGACTACATATATATATGTCCATTCCGTGATTTTGAGGGTTACTATTCTTTCACTTGATTAAATTTTAAAGTAAATTTGTTACCATCAAAACAATTAGAGATGTGAAACCCTTAAGACTAACAAATTATTCAGAACATTTCACTCGCTAATCGAGCTGCTTGCTTTTCTTTTCAGTTTTCTATTTTCCCTATGGGAGATCCCGGGAAAGCAAAACTTCAATTCACAAAATGAAAGAATGCACAAATAAATACGAGAAGACATAATGTAGGTAGTAATTGATCAAGTGTTTATTTATTAATTGAATATGGGAACAGTACATACAGTGAACTAGTACAAAGAAAGAAAGTTCATAAAAGTCTTGATAGTGTATTTTTCATCCAAGAACCATAGATTTGCTCTGATCCCGCTATAGATTACGTGCCTCTGTGAACAAGAACAAGACAAAGATGCAAACTACTCCAACACATGCCTTAATTAACATTATCCTTTTCAAAAAAGATTACACTGCCACTTGAGCAAATGCCTCGTAACATAGTTGAGGAATGGCAAAATATATAACTTTTGCTCCAAATATTTCTTTAGTCCTAATAAGATTTAACTATATAATATATTTTTCAACAAAATAACATAATAGTATGAGATAAGTCCTAGTATTATACTAAAATATTCAATAACAAAGATAATAAAATTACATAAAGCAAATATTGCTAATTATTAAGCCATAATAAAAATTAACATAATCTAAAAATATTATATAGGTCATGCTAAAATAAGTATAGCTAATAAATATATTAATTACATAACTAAGCACTAAAAAAAAAGATAAACTAAGTTATGCATTTTCATTATAAACCAATGTAAAACTAAAATATAGATATCCAACACTATCATCACTCCTAGTGTTGAATTGTATTTCTTTTGTTAGCATTAGTATTGATTTGAACTTTGTTTGAGTTACTACATGTATAGGCTATAAAATTTATTTACCATTTACAAATGTTAAGTTCAAACTGGAAATAATACGTTAAAATATAAAACTATCAAAATTAATAGTTTAAGAATTATTTATAAATTATATTACAATAAATATTTATATGTATAAAATATTTTTAAAAAATTATATAAATTTATTATCTAGTTGGTTTGGTTTAGGTTTGACAAACCAAACCAATTATGGTTAGATTTCTTTTTCTAATACCAAACTAAATCACAATCGAGTATTTGTTTTCCGGTTTGACTCGGATTATTGGTTTAGTGCAGTTTATCGATTTCTTTGTATACCCCTCACTGCTAGAAAAAGGCTAATTTTCGATCGTCAAATTGATCGGAAATTGAATTTTTCCGACGGATTCCCGACCGAAAAAGGTCGGTCGGGAAACACGCGACCGCAAAAAATTTGCGACCGAATCAGTCAGAAATTCTTGACGGAATTGGTCGTAAAGTGAAAAATAAAGGACGCATTTGAATTTAAGTGATTGCGACCGAATTGGTCGGTAAATTTGCGACTGACTCGGTCGCTAATCAAAATAAAGAAATAAATAAAAATTAAATTTTCCGACTTATTCGGTTGGAAATTTAAATAATCAAATCGATATTTTAATTCAATATTCCGGCCAAAACAGTCGTACATATTGAGTATAAATTAATTAAATAAATTTAGAAATTCATAATTTGCGACCGAATCAGTCGCAATTCTGGGTAAGTTCTGGTTATATTTGTGACTAATTCAGTGACAAATTAGTCCCAAATCTGGAAAAAATTTAGCAGAATTTTGCTGTATTTTTAATTACACCAGCTGCCAAATAAAATAACAAACCAAACGCCTAAAACAGCCAACCAAACACCTAACAGCCAACCAAACACCTAGTATAACAATCCAAATTAAATCCAATATTAATAACAATCCAACCAAATAGTAATATTTATAACAATCCAACCAACTAATCATACAATATTAATTACGATCAACCAATTATCAAAATACTAACTCAAATTCATAAATTAAACATGTCTCTAACTTCAAATCCAAAATATAACATGCACATTCAAATAGTTAATCCTAGTCAAACTCAGTCTCTTCCTCAGATTCAGACTCCATTGTAGATTGACTGCCTTTTTTGCTTTTCTTTTTTAGCAATTTTTGGATCAAAGCATGAGTTGCGTCTCATTCTTGTGACATTTGATCCATTTTTTGATGCATAGCTTTCATGTCTTTTGGGAAACTGATGCACCAGCGAATAATGCTGCTGGACGACTTGAGGATGGCTGTACTCCAAACCCGAAGACTCGACCTTTATTTATTTTTATGAGAAATAAAGAAAAAAAGTAAAAGAATTAAGAAAACAAACACGCAACTTTCAAACTAATACCAAAATATATACTTGCATAATATTTATACATTTATTCACGCCACCTGCCGTCTGTGTCCATATTGCAGTCATATCCTTCGGGGCCGGCTGAGTTCCTTCAGGCTGAGTTTGTCGCCATGCATCAAGATCATTATGATACTTATCTCGAAATAAAAATAATACACGTTATATAAACAAAATAATCCTAAAAATATAATATAGTGTTGGAGTTGGGATCATACAAATGCCTCTGAAGCACGCGGTTCGACCCATCCTTCTCTCCCCCATTCGTCTTGTGGGTCTCCGCAAAGGCCTCAACATGAGTCACCTCTCCCCCACGTTCCTTTTCCTATAAATTAAAAAGTAGTTAGAGATAAATATGTTCAATTTACATACTTGTAAAACTAAGAATATTTTATAATAAAATTACCAATCTCAAACGAGGGGCTGCAAACTATTAGAACCTCTAGTATGCAACGCTCCACCCTTAGTAGAAGCTCTGTTTAACTTTGCCCGTTCACTCTTCTTCTTTTTTAATTTAGCGGTGTTCTACTTTTCCAAGAGCTGATTCCAGACATCTA